GAGTAGGTCTGGGTTTAAATATCTTGGGATTAATGTCACCAGATCTTTATCATCTCTCTTTTCTGCCAATTATACCCATTTGTTGGCTCAAACTAAATCTGACTTTCAAAGGAGGCACAATCTTCCAGTATGCTTAATTGGAAGAATTAACATTGTGAAAATGAATGTCCTCCGCAAGTTTCTATTTGTATTTCAGTGTATTAATTTTTGTTTTTGCCCAATAGTTTTTTTTGTTTTTTTTAATCCATTGACCAAATTGTTACTCATTTCCTGTGGAATGGTAAAGTGCCCAGAATTCGTAATGTATTACTCCAAAATTGTAAACTTAGTGGTGGACTATCTTTACCTAACTTTAAGTTCTATTTCTGGTCCACTAATATTCATAAGATAATGTATTGGTTTAATTTGTCTAATGCTCCCTGGTGTAGGTTGGAGACTAAATCATGTCTTTCCACATCTTTACGGGCCCTACTTACTGCCCCCTTACCTGTTAATCCCTCTAGCTTCACTGATAATTTAGTGGTCATTTCTACCTTTCGGATATGGTCTCAGTTTAGGCGATATTTTAAGTTTATCTCTGCCTCTTCCTTAATGCCATTATTTATGAATCACTCATTTCCCCCATCAATTACTGACCCTGTTTTTCTGATTTGGCGTAACAAAGGATTAAGATATTTCAGAGACTTATAGAAGGACGATACCTTCTGTAGTTATGCAGTGTTGTCCTCTGAATTTGAACTGCCACCGTTCCACCTCCTCCGCTATTTTCAGGCCAGGCACTGGTTTGTTCCTTTACTTTCAAACTTTCCTTGCTTACCACCTAAGTTGGTATGGGAGGATTTTCTTGTGATTAACACTTCTGAAAAGGCACTTATTTCTACACTCTTAAAAATAAAGGTGCTTCACGATGCCATAGAAGAACCTTTTTGTCTAAATGGTTTCATAAAGAACCTTTAACACCTGAAGAACCTTTCTGTTTCACAAAAGGTTCTTTGGGGCGAAAGAAGGTTCTTTTTGTAAAAAGATTGTAAAAAGTTAAGAAAGAGATGGTTCTTTAAAGAACCTTTGACTGAATGCTTCTTTGTGGAGCCAAAGATGGTTCTTCTGTGGCATCGCTTGAAGAACCTTTTGAAGCACCTTTATTTTTAAGAGTGTAGGACTTATTGTCAGCTTACTGACTTTTCTTCTGTCCAGTACTTTGTAACTATTGGAACAATTATTTTGAGACTATGTCCAAAATATTTCAAACCAAAGTTGATGTCTGCCGTACTACTGCAATCTTTAGGGTTCCTAGAGTTTGGACTCAGTTTACATCTAAACAGTAGATGTACTTGTCTTCACTTCTTTATTGGCTAGACGATGGATTTTATTTCTTTGGAAGTCTAACAAACCACCATCTCACAGTGGCTTGTGGATACCATGTACTTTTTGAAGTTGGAAAAGATAAGATGCTATCGGTATGCCAGTTAAGGTTCTTTTCATGATACATGGCAAGCTTTTATAACACATTTTCACTCACTTCAAACTTTGCTTGCTGATTTAATTTATTTGAAGTTTTGAATGATCGTGTTTCCTCCTCCAGACTTTTTTTTTTTTTTTTGTGGGAGGTTTTCTTCTGTTGGTTTCTTTGTTGTAAAAATTTAAAACAAGAAAAAAGAAAATGTGGACTGTCTTCATGTCTGCTGTCTCAATAATTATGTTTGTACTTTCCACTCAATAAAAAAAGGGAGGGGGGGGGCGGAAAGTAAATTTATTTTTATGTATTGACTAATATACTAAAGCACTTGTATAAATAAAAGATTCAGTTTTAAGTGATGTCCAATATTACGTTTGTTAATACATTTTAAATGTTTATTGTGTAGCCTACTAAATACTGTATACTATTATATACTGCGTCTATTTGCACTATTTTTAAACTTCAGTACACTTGCTTAAATAGCCTACAGCAGCCTACTTGTTTTGCTACAGAAACCCTTTTGCTCAGTTTGATTGAGATTTTCATCACCAGATCCTGCTTACCTTCAAGAGTGTCAGTCTACATGATATTTTTGACATGGAGTGTCGTTTATGAGAGAGAAGCGCAGTGTTGGCGGGAGAACTCCGAGTTCGACACTAGCGTGCAAACTGCGCATGTGCATCCTTTAAACCTTAACAGCCAGCTGCCACTACGCAGAGGTGAAGGTGTATGTGTATATACTGTATATATATATATGAATATGATCTTTGTGTTATGTTCCCGGATGTATTAATATTATTATTGTTTTCCTTAAATTTATTTTACTGTGGTTTATAAAAGAGGGGGCGTGGTTGAATGCCCTGTGTTCTGTGTTTTTGCATGTGGTGTTTTTCTCTCTCTCTCCCTCCATCCCTTTCTCTCTCTCTCCCTCTGGAGGATGGGTGTGAGTGTATTTTTCCGTGTCTTAATATTTCCTCAACTGTGAGTGATTAGGTTGCTTTGGAAAATGGATTTATTTCGAGGGAGGGAGCGAGGGAAGTTTGTTGTTTATTTTGTTTTCTTTACTTTCAGGTTAGTTTGTACTCTTCCCTAAATTAGTTAGTGAAATGTTTTGTTTGTTGTTTTAGGCCTTGCTCTCCCCTGAGTCATTTGCTCTCATTTATCTTATTAATTTGTGTAAATAAAACACTTTTTATTTGTAACATTAAACTGGTCTTGTCTTCACTCTGGGACAGAGGATTGAAGTGTCTTCCCACCTTCGCTTTTTCCATTTTTTATTTTTTTTTGTTCACGTCTTTGTTACCTCCCCTCCTGACCCCTAGACAAATGAGGGGAACGTAACATTTGTGTCTCAATAAAATATATATTTTTGTATTATTTGTATTAGAGGGAGCGAGAGAGAGAGAGAGAGAGAGCATCACGTCATGTCACGTCGGAGTCAGCTGTCTTAACCGTGTCTTGTGTACTGCAAACACATACCAGCTTCATCACTGTGTCTGTCACGAGACTCTGTTCCCCTTTTGGGCTGTCTTTACATTTATTTTGAAAGATGAAGCTCGTGATTATGGTAAGGGACGTTACATTTCCGACGAGTGCTTGTGGTGTTCGGCCAATCACAATGCACTGGGTCAGCTGGCCAATCAGAGCAGACTGTGCTTGTCGGAAGGAGGGACTTTGTAGAAAACTAAGCGTTTGAGAGAGGCGGGGCATAGAGGACCTACAATAATGTACAGTATTTGAAAAATAATGTTTTTTGAACATTAAAGCATGTCAACATATTCTGTTACACCAAATACACAAAATAATGATCTTTAAAAAAGCATCATATGACCCCTTTAAGAGGTCATATCGGTTCACAAGACTTGGATTAAATTACTTTTATAACCTTTTAGGATCATCAGAGATTTTGTTGCATGAACTTTCATGAAGGGACAGAAAGCTCTCAGGTTTCATTAAAAATCTTATTTTGCATTTTTAAAAACAGAATTCTTAAGGGTTTGGAACAACATGACAGCAAGTAATTGATGACAGAATTTTACATTTTGGGAAAACTGTACAGTTGTACCTACAAATTTTAGGTAAAATTAAAATGTATCTTTTGATATTCGTAGACATGGATCAGTTTGTGATTAGTATCTTTCATTCATTCAGGAATAGTCTGATGAGTCAGAGTTTGGAGATGTTGCAGAAGCCCTCCTTACTACACATTTTGTACTATGGTGGTACCCAGCATGCACTGCAGCGTGAAGCTTTTTGTTGATTGCCACCATTGTTGAGATTCATTTGCTGATTCTTAATGATGTCTGTGTGAATCTAAATAATACAGCAGATCAAAAGCTTTCATGCACTACACAGTTTTAAAAACATTCGAAACAACAGTTTACTGGAGTACTTTGTTCTTATACAAGCTTGGAAATGCAAAGTCTATACAGGCCAGCTCAAAATCCCATCTATAAGCAGTTACTATCTGCTCACTATATGGCACTGAGCTCACTGCTTTACAACATCATACTCAATGTTTCAAAAATTACAATCTAAGATACTGCAGGAAGTAAAGTGTCAAGAGTCCAACTAAAGCAAACACTGATCTCCATGATGGTGATGTCGTTTTAACCAATAAAACGTCAACATCTAAACCTCTGTTAATTCTCAATAAGAGCTTCTCTAGTCATCTGACAGAGATAAAGTCAGTCTGGGGTGTGTTTCCCAAAAGCATTGTTAGCTAACTATTGTTCGTTCCATTGAACTCTATTGGAAAGACGGAACTTGCGACCATAGTTGTTTTTGGGAAATACACCCCTGGTTAGTAATGAGTGAAGCTGCTGCTGCTGCTGTTTGTTAATGTCTTCTTGTATTTCAGTTGATTTCATCTCAGGCTGTGGCTGAAGTCAGTTGTAGTTCTTGTGTTTCTCTGTTCTTCATTGATTCTGCTTGTTAACAGCAGCTGTTCATCACTAATGCTCAATCCGCACTTAATTAATCACGTAATTATCTCATTGTCTTAAACTCTGCTTCAGTGTTATTTTAACACTATTAAGGCCATGTACACGGGTATTTTTAAAAAGTTTTTTCCTCCGTTTTAAAAAAAAATCTCCGTCCACATGAAAATGCAAACGCATGCCATGAAGCACTGTCAAGAGCATGCCAAGCCAACAGGTGGCGATATAATCTCAACTGTAAAGCCATGTTGGCCAATCAGAAGCCTGAAAAAGTTTCCAGTAGGCGGAGATAACGGTGCAGGCTCCGACGTCACAAGCCAAAAACTCTGGTTTCGCTGTCTACACGATAACACTGCAACCGGAGTTTTTGAAAATCTTCCCCCTGGCAGGCGTTTTCAAAAATGTTTGGTTTCAGTGAACTGGTGCTGCGTTTGCTAAACTACACAGAAAAAGCTGCAGTTTTGAAAACAACTGCGTTTGTGTGGATTAAATGCTCTATGAACAGAGTTGATTTTACTCTGGAGATTTTGCTGTTTACATTCCTGTTTTTGTGTTTCTGCTTTTTTTTTTTTGCCAAACAGAAAACTGCTGAATTTTAGTTCCAGGAGCAAGAATATCTTATTCACTGATCTACATTCATCTAATGTAGAAATCAAACAAAGCCAAGCTAAAGAGCATCTGTGTTCATTCAACTGCATGTCATATACTTTGTGGGAACGCCTCATTTTCAGAGCCGTACACCCATTTTCATCATATTTGGCAATGGTCATGCCATCCATGGAGAAATCAAATGCACCAGGTAATCAGGAGTTTATAGACTTTATTACATTTGTCATGTTATGGGTCAATGGTTTCATGTTTTGAAGGATATGTACATTTAAAATTGAGATGTATTTCAGTCTGCAGGTTAAGACGATATGCATTACTACTGGCTTTTTTTCTTTGGACATCATTCTGTTTGGTAAGTTTGTAAGACATTTTTAAGCTGACTTTAAAATAATTATCAAATTAATAAGCATTGTATTTCTACACAAATAAAGAAGTGTCAAACAGGGTTGTGTGGCATTCAACTCAATTTGAATTGAGAATGCATTTTAACATCCAATTAAATTCCTAATTCTGAATTTAGCAAACAAAATGCAGAATTTGAATGTAAGTACCGATTTGTGTAACTGCTGTAAGTGTAGTTTTAAATATTAAAATAAATAGGTTTTTAGCAAGAATCAATTAATTTTTATGTTTCATATTTATTTTTTATAAAGTTGCCTGAACATAGTGTAGTGGACATGTTTTCCAGAACTGAATAAAAGCTTAATTTCAAAGAATAAATAGGCTAAATATGGCTGTTGAAAATCTTTGAATGGCAGTTAATAAATTGCTCTTCCTGTCATCCCAACTCCGATGCAATACTTTAATGTAATTATTTACTTATACATTAATTTAATCTTTTACCTTTTTTTTTTTTTTTTTGTGCAGATTGACATATGTTTTCATAGCCTTCAAATGACACATTGTTTGGAGGACAACTTTGAAATAATGACAATGGATTAAAATTAAAATATTACTTTCACTTTAATAATTAATACTATTTGGATTCATCAAAATAATCATTAGTTCTAGTTTAATCATGCTAAATTACTTTTTGCTCCACACATGCATGTATGTACAGTCATGACCAAAAGTTTTGTCAGTGACATCAATTTTGTGTTTTGCAAAGTTTGCTGCTTCAGTATTTGTAGATTATTTTTCCACATGTTTCTATGGTATGCTGAAAAACAATGATAAGCATATCATAAGTTTTAAAGGCTTTTATCTGCAAAAAAAAGATGAGTCAATATTTACAGTGTTGACCTTTGCTCTTTCATAACCTTGCAATTCGCTCTGGCATGCTGGATATTAGCTTCTGGGTCAAATCCTGACTGATGGCGATCCATTCTTGCCTTATTAGTTCTCGGAGTTGATCAGAATTTGTGTGCTTCTGCTTGTCCACTCGCCTTTTGAGGACTGACCACAGGTTCTCTATGGGATTGAGATCCGGGAAGTTGCCTGGCCACGGATCCAAAATTTAAATGTAATGATCTTCGAGCCACTTCTTTATCACTCTTGCTTTGTGACATGGTGCTCCATCATGCTGGAAAATGCACGGATCATCACCAAACGTCCTGCAAGAAGTCGCTCTTGCAGGACGTTTGATACCATTCTTCATTCCTGGGAGTGTTTTTGGTAGAATTATGAGAGAGCCCACTCCCTCGGTTGAAAAGCAACCCCACACATGGATGGTCTCGGGATGCTTCACTGTTGGCACAACACAGGACTCATGGTAGAGTTCACCTTTTCTTCTCCGAACAATCGATTTTCCAGATGTCCCAAACAGTCGGAAGGGAGCTTCATCAGAGAAAATAACTGTGCACCAGTCTTCTGCTGTCCAATCCTTGTACTTCCTGCAGAATTTCAGTCTGTCCTTGATGTTTTTCTTGGAGAGAAGTGGCTTCTTTGCTGGCCTTCTTGACATCAGGCCGTTGTCCAAAAGTCTTGGCCTCACTGTGCGTGCAGATGCTCTCACACCAACCTGCTGCCATTCCCGAGCAAGCTCTGCACTGCTGGTGACACGATTCTGTAGCTGACTCCTAAGGAGGAGACGGTCCTGGCGCTTGCTGGATATTCTGGGACGTCCTGAAGACTTCTTCACTGCAGTCCAACCTCTCTCCTTGAAGTTCTTGGTAAATGGTTCTTTTAAGTGCAATATTCTTTGTAGCAGTTTCCTTGCATGTGAGGCCATTTTGATGCAAAGTGATAATGGCTGCACGTGTTTCTTTGGAGGTAACCATTGCTAACAAGAACACAATGATTGGAAGTGCTTCTTCCCTGCTTTTATAGCAATCAGTCTGCTCTTACAATCTAATTAATATGATGGCGATTTCACTATATAGTACTACTCATTCACACTTTCACATGTTATGATAAAAAAACTTGATTTTTTAATGGGTTTTTTTATTTTTTTGTGAAAATCAAATTTTTTGACCAATGAAGCTTTTAGCAATTATTTAAAATCCATCTGATCACTCTACACCAGGGGTCGGCAATCTACGGCATACGTGCCAACAGTGGCACACAGAGGGATAATCGCTGGCACGCGAGCAGTAGGGAAAACTGCATTCTGATGTACATTTTGAGTTAATAACTTATCATAGTCACACAGCCTGTTAGGAGCTATAAATACTATTAAAGTGTGAGAATTAACTTGCTCTAGTCTACGGATGCATGCATGACTGCTGCACATACTAGGCACTTCAGATCAAATCCTCAGCGGTCTAACAGCGCTCGTCAATGTCAAAATGACTGAACTGGCTTACTGTTCACAGAAGCAGAGCGCAAAGCGTCAGTTTAACGTTAAAGAGAGCGAGGTAAGATAAAGCTGCAAATCATTTAATATTAGTAAACTTTAACGATACGTTTTACGATATAAATGTTAAATGATCGACAGCTATATCCAGTGATGCAAACTACTCGATTTTTTTTTCTCAGATATGGCCATTTTGAGAGAGACAGAGAGAGAGAGAGAGAGAGAGAGAGAGAGAGAGAATGTGTAAATTGTCTGTGTCTCTCTACAAACAATGAAGCTGAGTTTAGTTACATAAAAAACAGAGATTTTACCCCCCTCATTGCTGAGAAATATAATATAGCGATTCAGTATTGATTTATAAAAGTCGCGTGGCAGCGCTGACAAGTTTATGAGCTTCTGAATGTTACTTTTTGCACACCACGATCTCTGTGTGCGAGTGCATCAATTAAAGCTGAGCATTAATATAGAACAGTGATCAAACTGAACTGTTTTAATGCATTGGCCTTGTCACACACACACACACACACACACACATACAGTGGTGTTCAGTACGGTCACACTGTATATCTGTTATTCAATAAACTTTTGAAAAGTTTAAAAAACAAGTTATGAAAAAATCCTCAGAAACTATTTGCATGAAAATCAAATAGGCCTATTGTTTTTTATCGTATCATTTAAAAATGTGTATGTACAGAATGCATTAATAAAGGGGGGGGGGGTTGGCACAGTGGTTAACCAGAAAAATGTAAAATGGCACGTCATGCCGAAAAGGTTGCCGACCCCTGCTCTACACAATAATCTAGAAACAACGTGAATGAACACAACAACAGCTTAAGCAACAAACTTTGCAAAAAACTAAATTTATGTCACTTCCAAAACTTGACTGTATGGCCATGACTGTATAAAACTTCTCAGTAATGCTCTTCCAAATATAGTCTTAAGCTTCGACTTAAGTGTCAAAAAATTCATAGTTACAAGTAGGACTTTTCTAAGAGTAGGACACTTTTAATAAGAAGCTAAAAGCAACTTTTAGTAAAGTCTAAGACTGATTCTTGAGTGTTGACTGAGGTGACACTTAAGGCTTGAAAACTAAGGACTAGTACCCATTCACAGTTTGTGCCAAATCCCTACAGATCTACATAACTTAGAAATCCAGAAAGTATCTGTATCTACAATGAACATTAAACCTTTGCACATAGAAATAAAAGGAATTTGGTCTGAATTATATCCTGATCCTCTCTCAGGTTCTGTGGGCATGGAATGGTGGGATTCATATAAAACAATTTCAGCCCCCCAGACCTGTACTAGTTCCTCGAAATAACAATTCTTCCATAATATCAGCGGTTGACATGGGAATCAGCGATGAGGAGTGGGAAAGACTACAGAAGGCTCTGGACTGGCCTATTCCAGATCAAGAAATCACTCATCTGATTCAGAGCACAAGTCCAGTCCACTCAACTTTCTCTATTGTGGGACTCAAAGAGAGTTACAAAGTGGGAGAAAATATCTCTGTTATTATCACAGCCAGAGACCACAACAAGAACCTGAAAAGATATGGAGGAGACTTTTTCAAAGCAAAACTTTTCAGTACAGAACTAAAGGTCAGTATATTTTATAATATATTATTTTTAAAACACATTTTTGTGAAAAAAAAGAATGTACAGACTTGCATTAATTGTTGATTTGTTTTTATTTACAAAATATTACATATTGTGTTTAGGTTTAAAAGCTTTAAAAAGTCTTTGCCAACAGACATTAGTTTTCTGCATTACATTTATTCTTTTCCATTTCTCTTGAAGGCGAGTGTGTACGGGGAGGTTGTG